TCCCAGAAGAAGTGGCTATTTTAAAGATAAAAGCACATGGGAAGTTGGACACAGATGAAGCAAAGGGCAACCATCTAGCTGATCAAGCTGCAAAACAAGCTGCAAGAGAACCACAGGAAGTGGAAAGAAGAGTGTCCGGAAATGAAGAGACTCCCATATTTACTCTGCAGACTCTTCCAACTGACCTGAAAATCCTGCGGGAACAACAGGCTACAGTTGCCCCTGAAGAAATACAGAAGTGGAAACAGAAAGGGGCAGTTCTGAAGGATGGAGTGTACTCCAACAACCTCAGTTTCTGCCTCCCTAAGAATTTGTACCCAGCAGTCGTACAATGGGCACACGGACCTGCACATTTATCAAAGGATCTAATGAATGCTCTTGTACAAAATACTACCTCACTGTCCCCATATGAGATTCTATTTGGGACTGCACCTAGGCTAGGTTGCTATTTTCCCCAGCAATTACAACTTCATACTGATGTTTTGGTAAACTATGTAACTGAACTCGCAAATGCTTTGAACAAAATCCATGCCCAAGTTTTCTCTTCAATTCCAGATCCTGATTCTGACACAGGCAACCACAGTCTGCTCCCCGGTGACTGGGTTCTGGTCAAGAAATTTGTGCAAAAACACACCCTGGAACCAAGATTTGACGGACCGTTCCAAGTTCTCCTGATCTCCCCTACCTCTGTCAAATTGGCCGGAAGGCCTAACTGGATCCACGCTTCCCATTGCAAGAAGACACCTGTCCCAGAGGAAGCTAACTCTATGCAACCATGTGCCTCTGGTACATTATCTCCTTAGTTGGCCTCCTTAAAGCCCAGCAGGTGGCCATCACCAAAGATGCTAGTGGGTACACTTTCTGGTATAATTCATCATGTACCCATGTGACTACATTCACTTTTGATTACTGTGATATTGTAGAGTGCCCATTCCCTAAGTCACAGATTCAAGCCATTTATAAAGATATACCACAAGCAAAAGACCCTTACGTTTGTGTAGTAGATGAACAATGGGGTTATGACTGTAACTACTGGGGGGGCTGCGGGATGGAATACTGGGCCTGCCTGGGGTTATAAACCCAAAAGTTCTTTATCTAAGATAGACAATCAGGGTAGATCCCTCCTTCAAAGAATGACTTTAAGAAAGCCTGGAGGAAGTACCTCTATGAAATTAATGTTAAATATTGAACATCCTGGCCCCGAGGATGCAGACCGATATGTAATGGGAATGTATTGGAAGAAAGGTTCCTACAACAAATTAGGTCATTTCTACCTCAGAGATATGTACCACTCTCCAGAGTGGTAAGGGGCTGATCATATGGTCCCAAATCCGCTAAAACCACATATCCAGTCCTTTAAAGATATGATGGCCATCGCTAACCCCACTTTTGAAGATACCATGGCCGCTGAAACTGGATTCAATGACATTAATTTGTGGTTAGAATGGATGAGGTATAATGCTAACAAACATAATAAAACAGCATGTTATGTATGTGGCGGTGCCCGACCCCACCTTGGCACCGTCCCCCTAACTCTCCCTTTAGAGATAGAAGATTGCTTCTTAAGCCTTTTGCCTACCAATATGACTTTAATAGGTCCCTCTGCATGGCATGGACGGCAGAATACCCTCTCTTAGTTGAAAATGTTAAGCCACCAGATGGAATCACAGTCTATAGAGGTAATTACACTTGTTATGCCATGTATGACGGGATTGGTAAATTCATGGGTAATTTTTCTAAAAGTTATTGCGCCACTTACAGAACTGTTCCTATACGCCTGTTGCAACACCATACCAGGTCATTGGGGGATATTTACTGGTTATGTGGGGATCTACAGTTAAGATCTAGGCTGGAAACTGAGTGGTAGGGTGAGTGTACCCTGGCCAAAGTTATCATGCCCATTCATATTATTTCTGATAATCAACATGACACATACTACCCTCCACATACACCAGCCAGAGTAAGGTGCGAAACCCCAGTAAACGGCAGTTTTGACCCCCACATTTACATAGATGCCATTGGGGTGCCTAGGGGGGTACCTAATGAATTTAAAGCTAGAGATGAAGTAGCTGCAGGTTTTGAATCACTTTTTACCATAGTCACTGCCAACAAAAACCTTAATTGGATTAATTATATCTATTACAACCAACAGCGCTTCGTGAACTACACCAGGGATGCCCTCCAGGGCTTGGCCGAGCAATTACAGGCCACATCCCAAATGACCTTCCAGAACAGACTGGCCTTAGACATGATCTTAGCCGAAAAAGGGGGGGTCTGTAAAATACTTCCCGACACTATGACTTGTTGCACTTACATTCCAGAAAACACAGGTCCTAATGGTAAAGTCACTCTGGCCATAGCTAAATTAAATAGACTCTCAGAAGAGTTAAAGAGAAACTCTGGAGTTACTGATCCCTGGGAAAAATGGTTTGGTTGGATGACTGGTTGGCAGAGAGCTTTAGTCCAGATTGGTATTGCCTTACTAATTTTTCTTTTTATTCTCGCTCTTCTCATTTGTTGTGTCCTCCCATGCCTAAGGAAATTCCTGCAGAAAACTGTAGACCAAGCAACACCAACCTTCACTCATCTGACAATCGATGATCAAGACCTCATCTCACCCTGTATTCCGCTACAAACTCTCCCTTATACTGATGAAGTGCAGAAAGTCTAGGAAGGGACAGTACAGGGACAGCGTCCGTCTTTATGGGTAGACTGCCGTACGGAGAAGTAGTGGATAAGCCACTATGGGTTACCAGCGGAGTGAAGAGTGTTCCTGAACCGTACTGACGGATGTGCTGCAGCCTGTTAGGGTCAAGAGAGGGATAGACTTGCACTTTGCATTAACACTAAGTCAGCGGTCATGGGGTTTCTGTGTCTTTGGGCTAATACTTCTTCTGATACTAACAAATAAAGTTTTGTCTTTTAGCAAATAACATTTTAGGGGGGACTGTTGTAGAATTATTAGGCCTCTATAAATTTGTAAGGCCCCTTTAAATCCTCTTGCTATACCTCTAAGAGGCCCCCATAGTTTTACAAGGAAGCTTTGTCTATAGAACATAGAATTTGCATGTCAGCAAGAAATAGCTTTGATAAAATGTGTATTTACTAAAATCCTTGAAACTTAACCTTGAGAAACTAACAAGTGCCAGCTACGCTCCAAATGGATAGCTGCCAAAAGGCCCCTCCCGTCGAGTGAGCTCCTCATTTTAACAAGATGGCGCTAAAACCTGTAGGAGTTAAGAAATTACGTAGATAGTGACCTAAGAATGGGGAGGGCATTTTACTAACATCTTAGCACCTAAGCCAATTAACAATGTCTATTTGTCTATATCTTGATTTTCTTCAATGATGTAATAATGCCTTTATAAGGGTCTGCGCACCCATTTTCTGTCAGAAGCCATTAAACTTCTCTGAAGTTCTTTCATTACCCTGAACCTTGTGTCTCAGTGTGAATTTACTTCTGCGTGCACGCAACTTTATTATCTTTAATTTGGACAGGAACAGATAGTCATTCAAACTAATTGGTTTGCAGTAAATTATCTAGAACATTACCACTACAAATAGATCATACTGACAGCTGCAGTTCAATAAGGCGGATCTCAGTATTCCGCTGTTTAACATTATAAGCATTGTGTGATTTTATTTTTTCAGTAACATTTTTAGCTGTAGTGTCAATGAGGATTGATTACAGTGAAACTAACTAGAATTAGAAAGTTAGAATATCAGTGCATAAAGTGTGCGCAGTACAAAAGCAGCCACATACCAATAAAACTCTTTATAATTCTGCAGCTTTCAATATGTATCTATCTGCAGTGGTAATATAGAGCTATTTTGAATATTGAAACTGTCAGTTGAGTCATAGACCCACCACTAGACATTAGTAAGTGAATATTTAGGCCTGCCAAGGAGAAATTCACCTCTGGGATGTACGCTGCGCTTGTATTGGCGAGTGTATTTTAAAGGACCACTATAGTGCCAGGAAAACATAGGAGCTCTCCTCCTCCTCTCCGCCTCCGATCCTCCCATTCGGCTGAATGCGCATGCGCGGCAAGAGCTGCGCGCGCATTCGGCCGGTCTCATAGGAAAGCATTTACAATTTACAATGCTTTCCTATGGACGCTTGCGTGTTCTCACTGTGATTTTCACAGTGAGAATCACGCAAGCGCCTCTAGCGGCTGTCAATGAGACAGCCGCTAGAGGATTTGGAGGATGGATTAACCCATTTATAAACATAGCAGTTTCTCTGAAACTGCTATGTTTATAAAAAAGTGTGTTAACCCTAGAGGGACCTGGCACCCAGACCACTTCATTAAGCTGAAGTGGTCTGGGTGCCCAGAGTGGTCCTTTAAGGCCTGGCTAGAACTTAGGATTTCAAATTTTAAATATATTAATTACATAGTTAAAAAATTCCTTTGTGTAAGCAGGCAAACAGGGTTTGAGGGAGAGAAAAATGAATATGATATACTTACCATGGACAGGGGACATGAGCTGATGCTTCTTCTGGGCTCTTTCTCTGCACCTTCCAATAAGGCTACATATACACATATGCAAAAATGTCAGATACGCAATTTAATGTGTTAATGCAAGGTTTGTTGAGACCTGCTTGAGGGTTTGCGTGCGTGGGATGGCTGCTTGTTGTGTTGCTTGTGTGGGGTGGCTGCTTGTTATATTGCATTTGTGAGGGTAGGCTACTTGTGGGGTTCCTTGTTTCTGGGGATGCTATTTGTGGGATTGTGTATGTGAGGTTAGCTGTTTCTAGGGTTGCGGGTTGTGTGTGGATTGGGCTGTATGCGTGCATATAAATAGGAATTGTTTGTGTATAGGGACTGTATTGTATTAACGGGCATAGTGGCAGTAGTAGTGCATTTGTTTTTGAGGGCAGCAGCTGTATAGGGGCTATTTTGTATGTTTTGGAGAGAAAAATGGGGCTGCAGAATATGTGTGGGGGAATTAAGGCTGTTGTGTGTGCGCGGGGAACTTGGAGTTGTAAAGAATGTATAGGGGAGATCAGGTCAGTAGTTTATGAGTGCAGGGAATAATGGCTGTAGTGTGCATTTTGAGATCATTGGGACTGTTGTGTGTGTTGGGTGATACAGAATGTGTTGAGGGAATGAAGGGGCAGAGCTTGGGTATAGGTACTGTGGTGCCAGGGCAGGGCTCTGGTGAGTTGATAGCAGTTGTGATGGGGGGCATAGGGCTAGGATAGAAGGACAGAGCTGTGGTTGGGGATAGGGGCTATAGTGGGAGGTTAGGGGCTGTTGTGGGGGATTGTGGGGGGGTAGTAGCTGTAGTAGTGTGGGGATAGTGGCTGTAGAGGGGAGATAAGGGCTGTAGTTGGGGATAGGGGTGGGGGAATAGGGGCCATAGTGGGGGATATTAAATGTGGTGGGAGGACAGGGGATGTGGTGGCAGGATAGGAAATGTAATGGGGGAATCATGGCTGTGGCGGGAGGACAGGGGGAAATAGGACTGTGGTATTGGTGTAAAAAGGGCTGTGGTGCGGGATAGCCCTGTGATGGGCAATAGGCGCTATAGTGGTGGGATAGGCACTGTGTTAGGTGTTAGGGGAGGTGGTGGGGTAGATAAGTACTATAGTGGGCAAAAAGGTGCTATAGTGGGGGGATAGAGGATGTGGTGTGGGCATATGGACTAGTTGGAGGGATAGGGGCTGTAGTGGGAGTGATTAGTAGATATAATCGGAGGACATGGGCTTATAATGAGAGGACTAGGATTATGGTGTGGTCAAGGGCTAAGAAGCTGCAATAAAATATTTCCCCCCATCATGATGCTTACCTTGGGCCAGGGGGGTCCTGATCCCTGGTTGTCCAGAGGGAGATGTTGCTGTTTGATCTTTTATCTCCTCACCAGCGGTACCTCCCCTCACTTGCCTGCCACCCCATGGTCATAGCTTTGGTAGTCTTATGGCAAATCTGGCGCTGAATATGTTGCCATGCTTCTCTCTCCACTGCTCATGCTATAAACCAAATATGGCCCATGAATAAAGGGCAATAGCGCATCTCTACTCATTGTCAGCTCACTATGCTGGCCAAATGGCAACTGAAAAGGAGGCCCTTAAATTGCCTTTTTTAAATGAAGCTAGACAGAAAAATGACAGATTTGAAAAACGCCTTGCTTTTTTGACATGACTAGTTGCTCTCAAAAAAGCTTTTCCAGAAAGCCACCAATCGGTAAAATGGGTCTTGCAAACCTGTAACCCATTACAGAATATATATATTTTACATCTTTACACACATTCTGGCAATGTCAACAGTTTATTGATCATATTTTTATTAATATTTTTTAGCTAGCCCTCCTTTCCCCCAGAAAAAAACACCTATTGTTCCTCTACTAATTCGAAATGATGTATAACTTTGTATGTTCCTACGCGCACTGCCTTCTGTTCCAACGCATGTTTGCATAACATTAATAAAAATATCTCCAACTGACCCTGATTTCCAGCATCAGTCTGTGGTATATGTTCTTGTTCCAGAAGCCACCTGACCTTTTATTTGTCACAGGTTTTAAACTGAGGTTTTTAACAGCATCCACTAAGCAACATGCCCTCTGGAGAGGTGGCCTGTGTTCTTGCTGTGCTATTAAATGTTTTATAGATTTCCAGCATGTAATACTGTTTACCTATTGGTGGCCTGATTTAATGTGGTATTTCAGTGAGATAATGGTCACTCTGCTACACAAATAAAGCATGGCATTTATGTTCTATACTACCCAGTTATATGGCCCCTTAGAAAAGGATATTCATTTAGGTCTCACTGCCAATTTTTCTTCCCAGTAATAATCGGTTTATATGTATGTGCATAGGCAATTGTTTTCCAAGTATGCTGCTTTTGTCACAGCTACACCTTCATATATCTGAGTTTTCAGTGTTCAAATGTATCTAGCAAGTGTAAGTGTTAGCAAATATATTTTTGTTTTTGCACAAACACAAGCAAGTAGTTGGAGTAGGGGACTCTAGTGGGTGCATATTGACTGCAATTGGGGGAAGGGGCTGCATTGCAGGTAATACAGAAGTTTGTCCTGTTATAGTACCACAGATTAGGGGCAATTTTTGTCAGTTTAAATAACTGTTGACAGTGAAGATGTACTAAACACTCATCCACTCAATCAGATCTGTTTTTACTCCAATACAGACTGAAATGCAGATACATTTAAGAAGACTAAAAAATGGTCAAGATGCTCTTGGAACCTAGAGACCCACTACTGGGCATGTGCCTATGCAACTGGATTAGATAACCGTGACAAGATATGTTTTAAGTGTAAGAAACTCATAAAGTGAATTACAAGTTAAAACACATATGAACTAAAGTATAAGAGCGGTGTCTTGCCCTCTTATATTACAAATATCGTAAGTAAAGAATACTTGATAGTCAGCACAAATATTACACATATCAGGGCCCACATTCAGTCCTCAAACTACTTACCTAGTCTAAAATGTACATGCCAGAATATGAATAGCATTTTAATTCATGATGTGTCAGCATGGAGTATCAGTGTGTGTTATTGCAAGGGTGTGAATGTTGAGTGTTAGACTACGTGAGGAAATGTACACATGTGTTTGTGCTGTCTGTGTGTGAATACAGGGCCATGTGTGAGTGTATGCAGGGATAGATTTGCATGTTTCAGAATGCAGTAGTGTTTTGAGTGAAAAATCAGTGCAGAAGTATATTTGCCTGCCATTTTCCCTCACAATGTTATTAACTCGCCACCTAACTTTCCCACTCCCCATGTAATTTCCACTTATCCCACTACTATCACATTCTCTCTTATGTTTTTATTTTCCAGTATAATGTTCCACTTCACGTATCAATTTTTGTATTTATGCAATCTTGAATATATGCCAGAAATTGATATAACATACATGTATACACACACACACCTATAAAAAACAAACATACAGACAGACACAATATGTTGACACAGAGTGACCTATAATCTTATAACCCAAATAATGGATGTTAAAATCTCTGGCAGCCTTTTCAGTGTTTTTCACAAAGCTACCTTCACTTGCTTCCATTAACAACTTTTCTGTTTCATCAACCTTGCACATGCAAGCCTGAGGTTTACGTTCATGGTGCCACTTTTTGGGAGCATTGTGACTGCACGTGTTTTCATTCTAAGTACGTCACTAATCTGCATTTCCCATTTGAACTAGGATCTGCTCATCTATGTGAACAAAAGAACAAGTTACACGCAGGTGCATGTATAATAGTTATTTATTCTCAACATTTATTTAGATAGCTCAAATAATCTACGCACCCTTGATACACTACTTAAAGGGTATTAGAAACACAATTTAACAGCCAAGACAAATTAATACATAAGGTAGAGACAGCTTTGTTATGAATATGCATGAGCTTCATTTTATTTTATTATTAATTATAGAGCATCACACTATTCTGATCACATACCCCTATTACACACTTACATTATTGAAACTGTAAAAGGAGACTGGCTATCCCTCTTTCTGACATAACAAGCCCTCCCCCTCCCCCCCCCCTTAATTTTACTACAGTGTTGTTACATTTTTAGAATTTCGGTTTGGCACTTTTCCCAGACAGCTACTACGTTAATTATAGCCGGGATTTAAATAACTGACTAGAATGCAATTGAATGTACAACACACACATCTATATGCACTGTATTCTCTGGGTGTCCTAAATGACTAAGGGAATTCTTGTGAGTCAATGTTTCTGCATTACCCAGTGTGCGCCTCTTTGTTAACTGGGCTAGAAATCGGAAGGACCAAAACTATATTTTTTCCTGTCTCTGACCATTTAGTACATATCTAGATAGATCTCATTTTAAAGCAGAACAGAGACGTATTCAGTGCCTTTAAAAAGTCACCACCTTCTCTTTCCTGGCATCCCTTCTTCACGGACTTTCTGTGAAATATGAATATTTATATTTTCTCTGTCCCAGAAGATTAGGGATATCTCCAGTAGTCACTATTAGCTGTGCCTAAACTGCCATGTGTATACAAAAAAGTAAATGTCTGTGTTTAAAAAATAAAATAAAAAAATAAACAAAATGTATATAAATATCTATGCAGTTTTAGTATTTGGCTGTCAGTAATGTTGTCCCTCTTCTACAGAGTTGTGTACAGTATTGATTGCTGAGTGGATTCTGAAGTTTCTGAAAATAATGTATTTCCGGTCTATCTTCTGGAGCTGTCCATTGATAGTCATTTTCTATATTACTAGTAAACCTGCAAGAAAATCAACATGGGGTCCAAATCGCCCAGGGGTACTTGGAAAGAAGGTATATGGAGAGACAGAAAATACCAAAAATTATTCCAACATCAATTCAGTTGTCGTATTGTTTGTCAATAGTATTTTTGCTCTTTCTGGTTTTCTAAGGCCTCTTATACCACTGTCTTTTACACCATCCTTTCACCCTTATATTTCATATAACTAGTCCTTTACAAGTTCATTTTGCTTTACTGGTTTAACAAAAAATGGCCCGAGTCAGGGCACTTGTCACTGTCATTGAGGGTACTGTGCCTTCTCTGATCCAGTTGCAGGGAGTAATATTAACTCCTCACCAGCTACATTATGATGCACAATGTCACAAAGAGTGTCTTGCCAGGACCCTTATTGATACTCCTACAAACCAACATTATAGCTCAACCGCTCAAGAGTTTTAACTGCTCACTTACAGCATCTAAGAGACCCAGAACAAGCAAGCATCAGTTCATGTGCCATTATGCAGCAGTGATGGTAAGCACTCAGCTGTCAACGTTTTTTTTTCTCAGTCAACTTCCTAATCTATCGCCGAGCCCCCAGAAACCACTCTCTTAAAAAAAAAAAATTGCTAAAATTAAGCCAGCAAAAGATATTGAGACAGGTTGTGTAGTTATAACTGCATTAAAACCAATTAAAAGAATTAAATTTGTCACTGAGTATTAATTCTCAAATAACTTTTTGTACCATTACATAAATTAAAAACATTACGTAAACAAACATTATCTTCTGCTTGGTTCCTCCTTGCCAAACCCTGGACTGGACTTGCACAAATGCTGGTGAGAATGCAAAAATGCTGCTGTGATAATTCGAGACCTGTATATCTCATTTATTAAAAAAGGTGCTCTAAGCTTAAACCAACATGTTTAGTGACGTGAAGAACGTTTAACGTTTAACCCCAAAGGACCAAACTTCTGGAATACAAGGGAATCATGACATGTCACACATGTCATGTGTCTTTAAGGGGTTAAGAATCCTATACATCCAATCTTAAACTTTAATTTAAAATTAACATTCCAAATGTTCAGACTTAATAAAAGTATTAAAAATACAAATAAAATAACTCTAATAGTGAGGAAACCACTTATATTATAGACCATTATGATATGATATATGATAGACCATTAAGATTAGTAGCAGTTAGTTATAGCCTCATTTCTTGTCCAGGCTTATTGCTTTTATTGGTCAACTCCTTTTCTCCCTTCAACATGTTATTTACACAGTATATCACCTTCCTATACCATCCATTCCTTTTCTAGCTTTATTGCCACATCATTTCCAACACTACCACTTAATTCCCAGTGGCCGTATGTCCAATGTGTACTATGCATACTATATACTCATTACTCATTAATGCTCCATCTGCCACTGTTTAGGTAGCTTGCTGCCCCAACATCTCTTGTTTTCCCTCGATCTCCCTCTAACAGTTCATTCATTGACTAACTTCTCCTATTTCTTCTAGCTGTTAAGCTGTTATTATTAATATATAGTGCCAAAACTTGTGCAAGGAAAGTTGCACAGAATTGACATTGGCCAGCTTGGAATCCTAGTTCCTGGCTGGCTATTGACATCCCAATGAAACTGCAAGAGATTAAGTTGCACCTCTGACAGCCAAGGGCGGATCCAGAACCTAATCTCAGGAGGGGCATTAGTAGTGGGTTGTAGTGGGGTGATATGTACTGTAATTAAGGATTTAGGGGTTTCAGTGGGGGATAAAAGGCTGTAATGGGGGAGTGGGGTTAGAGGCTGAGGTAGGTGGATGGCTACAATTGGGCAAAGGGGCTGTAGAGTAGGGCAGTGTTCCCCAACTCAGTCCTCATGGACCACCAACAATCCAGGTATTGTCAGTATCTTCATTGGTTTAAAAGGGGAAATACATAAATCCTGGACAGTTGGTGGTCCTTGAGGACTAGGTTGGAGAACAGTGGTTAGGGGATATGGGACTGTATTGGGGGGTAAGGGAAAAGGGGTTGTAGTGGAGGTTTGGGGTATAAAAGGGGGCTTAGGGACTGTAGTAGGAGAGATGGGGGATGTGGTGTGGGATAGGGGCTAAAGTGTGGTTAAGGAGGTTGCAGTAGGGATAAGGGCTCCAGTGGGGGAGGGGGGAGAGGAGGGGTAAGGGCTGCTTTTTTAATATAAGGACTGTAGTAGTGGGTATAGTAATTGTAGTAGGGAGTTAGGGGCTGTAGTGTGGGGTAAAGGCTCTAGTGGGGTATAGTGTTTGTAGTAGGGTGTTAGGGACCGCAGTAGGGTTCAGGGTTGTAGTGGGGTATAGGGGCTGCAATTGGGGGGGGGGGTGTAGTGGCTGCTCTTGGGGTATAGGGGCTGTAGTGGAGTTATAGGGGCTGAAGTAGTGGGATTAGGGTTGCAATAGGGGAAGGGACTGTAGAGCAGTGGTGTATCCTGGTTTTGTGCTGCCCTAGGCAGGACAAAACTCAGGCGCCCTCCAACCCCCACCCATCCCTTCCCCCGCCTTCTAAATACACACACACACACACACACATATTCACTGACAGATACGCATAAACTAGCTAACAGAAACACACACTCACTGACACACACAGACACACACTCACTAGCTAACAGACACTCACAGGCAAACACACACAGACACACACTAACAGACACACACTAACACACACACTAACAGACACACACACTAGCAGACACACACACACTCACTGACACACACACTCACAGGCAAACACACACACACTAACAGACATACACACTAACAGACAAACTCACACTCACTAACAGACACTCACTAACATACACACACACACTAACAGACACACACACACTAACAGACATACACACACACTCACTAACAGACACACTCACACTCACTAACAGACACACACACACACACACACTAACAGACACACACTAACAGACACACACACACACACACACACTCACTAACAGACACACACACACACTGACACACACACTAACCGACATACACACTAACAGACACACTAACTAACAGACACACACACACACAGTAACAGACATACACACACACTCACTAGACACACTCACACTCACTAACAGACACACACACTAACAGACATACACACACACACTAACAGACACACACACACACTAACAGACACACACACTGACAGACATACACACTAACAGACATACACACTAACAGACACACTCACACTCACTAACAGACACTCACTAGCAGACACACACACACTAACAGACACACACACACACTAACAGACACACACACACTAACAGACATACACACACACTCACTAACAGACACACTCACTAACAGACACACACACACTAACAGACACACACACACACACTAACAGACACACACACACACACACACACTAACAGACACACACACACACACACTAAAAGACATACACACACTAACAGACACACACACACTCACTCACATTAACACATTTTTTTTAACCCCCCCAGCCTCCTTACCTTTGGGAATGCTGGGGGGGTTTCCCTCTCTCCCTGGGGCTGCCAGTCGGTCAGGCGGGCGGGCGGCTGGCGAGGGACCACTTCCTCTGAGCACTCTGCTCAGCTCCCTCGCGCACTGCAGAGTGAGGCTGGTAGCCGGAATATGACGTCATAATCCGGCTCCCAGCCTCACTCTGCGGCGCGCAAGGGAGCTGAGCAGAGTGCTCAGAGGAAGAGCTCCCTCGCCGCCCACCCGACCATCAGCCAGCGCCGCCTGCCCGCCCAGTATGTCAGTTAGCCACAAGGCTAACAAAACATTTGCCCTGGGCATTTGGGGGCGGCGTTTTTTGCCGCCCCCTGGAAAATTTCGCCCAAGGCAAATGCCTTGTTTGCCTCGCGGCTAATACGTCCCTGCTGTAGAGGGATATAGGGGATGCAATTTGGGGAGGTTATTTACTGTCTCTGAAGTAATGCCACTGTCTGGACACCTCACTTATATTTTTGTTGTTTGCCACTGTCTGGAGTGTCCACTCTGCTCGTTCTCTCAGTCCCTTTGCAAACTGCAGCCTGAGCCAGGTATGTAAGGTGTCACACTTTAGGTGTAGCGACACTGTCCCCTCCGCTCACTCCCTAGACCCTCCACAATCTCCAGGCAGAGTAAGGTGTGGTTGCACTGTCAGCTCTGCTCGCTTCTACCCCCCCTTCCATTTATGTCTCTTCTATCCCCCTTCCATTCATGTCCAGTAGTGTATTTTGGATTTGTGCTGTCCTCGGCATGTCTAAATGATGACACCCCCAATCTAAATTTGACGCACCCCTTCCTCTCAAGGCCATACCTCTTCCTGTTTAACACCAACATACACTTTTTAACTACAGGCACACTGCCTCATTGATACATGCACTGACATACACTCACGGACAAATACAGTCATTGAACACATTTGGCTTAACCAACACACACTTCCACTGACAGACACACACTGGACCAAGTCTCTGTTCCCCTCCCTTCCATGAATCTTCTTCCCCCTTCTCCATGTCTCTTCTCTCCCCTTCTCCATGTCTTTTCTCTCCCCCTTCCATCCATGTCTCTTCTTCTCTCCCCTTTTCCATCTCTGTTTCTTCTACCCTCTTTAATACATTTCTCTCCCACCCTTCCATCC